GTCGGTTTCACTTGCAAAAATTTTCTCCCATTCCATAGGTTTTCTTCTTGTTTTACTTCTGGTTTCCTTTGCTGTACAGAAGCTTGTAAGTTTCATTAGGTCCCATTTGTTTATTCTTGCTTTTATTTCTTCTAGGAGAAAATTTTTGAAACGTATGTCAGATAATGTTTTGCCTATGTTTTCCTCTAGGAGGTTTATTGTATCTTGTCTTATGTTTAAGTCTTTAATCCATTTTGAGTTGATTTTTGTGTATGGTGTAAGGGAGTGTTCTAGCTTCATTGTTTTACATGCTGCTGTCCAGTTTTCCCAACACCATTTGCTGAAGAGACTGTCTTTATTCCATTGTATATTCTTGCCTCCTTTGTCGAAGATGAGTTGACCAAAAGTTTGTTGTTTCAAGTTTTGAAGCAAGTAGTCTCAAGTTTAAATAATGGCAGATGACTACTTTTTCCTAATAAAGTTATAAATTCAGTAACTCTGTTATAAGGGCCACATGCTACAAGTTTTTCTGAAGCAATTTTTTTATAGTTTAAATTACAAAGTACCAGAAGTCAAATGTTTATAATTAAAAACTTCAGTTCTGGTATTGGAAATCCTAGACTGCCAAACAGAGAGTGCATACCTTTTTGACTGAGTATCTGGCCAGGGGCCCCAGCAGCGAGGGAGGTCAGGGTGGGTGTGCTCCTGCAGGAGGGGGCCCCCAGGGCATCCTCTGAGCGGGTGGGACTGTGCCCAGCCCAGGGGGAGATGAGGATTTCCTTGAAAGAGCAGCATGGGGATCAGGGTGGGGGTGGGAGTTCCTGCGTGACAGGAAAATCAGTCGGTGCGGATTGATGGCTTTCTGGCAGTAGAACAGAGCCAAGTCTGCCTGACTTCTTGTGTGCCCAGCTCTGCCAGGGTGTGTTTCTGGAAGCCAGCTAGTCCCAGCCCTTCCCCAGACGAAAGATGAATGCCAGTCCTGCATCTCAGATGAGAAGAGCAGCCAATCACTGTCAGATAAGAAACACATTTGGGAGAAAAAGAAACCAGATGGATAGGGATGTTACAGAACTAAACCAGCCTATAGCTCAGAATATAGTTAGGCCAGGAGATCAGCTCTCTTTGAGCGCTTATAGCAGATCCCCCGATTTCACAGTCCCGTTTCTTAGACTGACTTAACCTTTATCAATTAGTTGACTGTATATTTATTTTTTAATGATAAGAGTTATTTGGAAAGTAAATATTTTGAAAAAAATTTAAATCTGTTCCTCCCCTCAAACAACTTTTTCATTCATTTGAAATCACTTAAGATTGTATTTGATCAGAGCATTTCTAATTGACTACAAATATAAAGTATATTTCCAGACTCACAGACACAGGAAACAAACTTATGGTTACCAGAGGGCCAAGAGGGGAGTGGACAGATAAATTGGGAGTTCGGGGTTTGCAGATACACACTACTATATATAAAACAGATAAACCACTAGGTCCTACTGTACAGCATAGGAAACTATATTCAATACTTTTTAATTATCTATAATGAAAAAGAATCTGAAAAAGAATATATATATAACTGAATCACTATGCTGTACACCTGAAATTCACAACATTGTCAATCAACCATACTTAAATAAAAAATAAAAAACAAAAAAAACTGTTCATAAATGCAAGAACAAATAAGATAAAATTTGAGAGAAAATGTGTTCCTTGCAATTATTTAACTTATATGTCAGAAAACTGCTGAGATTTTTTCATCAGGTCTCATTGTTCAGATTTGTACCAGCTATTTCAAAACACCATCACCTTTGGATTAGCTCCTTTGTTTTAAAAGGCACTGAGCATGACCTCGTGCTTGTGACAGAATTGCAACTGATCTAAACAAGATCCAAAACTGCAAACCAAGGCCCCGTTTCCGAAGGAAGCCCTTGTGCTTTTGTTTTAACATGGCTGGTTCGCTTCACGTTGGCATCCATTGGTCACATCTGTTTCATGGATTTATTTGAAAAACAAAAGGGTTCTAAGGGCCTGGAAGACACTGATGTTGCCACCATACGCGAATTCAGTTCCTCAGTCTTTGAAGTCGCCTCCCAAGACTCTCTGTGCATTTGGCTCCATGTGGAACAGCTTAAACAGCCGAAGATGCCTTCAGTGTTAGATCAAAAGTATTTTTCCAGATGCCACTTTGAAATAACAAACAGCTTTATGGTTTACTTCCCAGTGGAGGCGTGTTTGGAACAATGCTTATCATTAACAGCTCCAGCTTCTGCTGATTAAAGACATTAATCTGTCCTTTTCGGGAGGCTGCCGAGGTGTTTTGTACCTGTCAAAAGAGAGAGCTTAAGGGAGTCTGTCCAAGGCCCACCCTCCTGCGCCTGGACCTCACGGGAAGGAAACCAGTGACATGAACAGATAAGAATTAGAGTCTGGAAAAGATGCGTTCATTAGGGGAAAAAATAGAGATAAAAAGAAGTCAGTTAAAAGAAGAAAAATGAAGATTCGAGGACAGAGTTCCTTTTAAATATTTCTGTGTGTTTTTTCCTAAGTCTGTCTCTAATTCTCTCAGCCAGAATAATCTGCCTTTCCTCACTTCATTTCATTTAACTTCCTCTGAGGGGAATGATACCACTGAGCTCAGGAGACTGGGATACACGTCTTCTGTCCCAAAGTCAGTGCGAGGTTCTTTGAGGAAATGAACCTCATCTTCACTTCACTTTATGTCTCCCCTAGTGTCTTCCTAACACAGAGCCTTTGCTGGTAACGCTTCAGTAAATGTTGGGGTGCAGAGGAATGGGATGGGACAGAGTGGATGGAATAGGTAAGGACAGACCATGGACTGGAAATGGAAGGGGGTTCGAGGCATGTGCTCAAAATCAAAAGAAGTTCACAAAAATGGATGCAGAGAACAAAGAAATGCATTCCAGTTATTCAGTGCAACTAAGAGAGAGCAGAGTGCCTGCCCTTTTACAAAAAAGTACCTGAGCTCCATCACATGTGCTTATAAGCCACTTCTCCCTCACATGAAATAGGGTCTGCATGCAGAAACGGGAGGGAGGGGATGTCCCTGCTCTGACTCCGGGTGCATCTGCGGCTCCACGCACATTTGGTCCCCAGACCAGGCACGAGCTGGAGAACAGCAAAGGGCAGGGATGACGAGGGGTTGCATAGTTATGGGTGACATCTTCAGTCTCCCTGACCCTCCGCTGATTTAGCTCAGCCGTCTCATCCCCAAGGGAAAAACAATGAAAGAAAGAAAAGCCAAATTCCTCCCGAAGTGGCAAAGAGAGCACAATGTGAACACCTCATATGTTCTCTGGAGTCTTGCCCAGGAAAGCCACTTGAGACGCTTACGGTGGGACGTGATACTCCTGGATGGTTCCAGAAGTGTTGCTCCATCACAAAAATCTAAACGGCTCCTTGGCAACAGACAGACACGTAAACAATGTTGCTTCAGCATCCTTAAACGGGGGTTGCCTGGAAGTGCTTCCCCCAGAAAAGGTGAGTCTCTGTGTCAGGTGTACTTGATAGCCTGTCCCTCTTAATCACTGAGAACAACGGCTCCTTTCCTGCTGACTTCATCCAGAATAATCTATTATTATGACACTTTTAGAAAGAAAACACCTGTGTGTATCACCTGGCACAACTTAAAACTTGTTGACAAGGTCGTGACAAGGAATCAATGCCTTTACCAGGGGTAGCTGCGTGTTTCCAGTAAACAAAGTCGGTTTGGTCTTCCCCGCCTTGCTCACCTGCAGTGTAGATAACGTGCCTTCCTTCAGTGAGAGGTGGGATCACTGTTCTTTGCCAGCAGGTGGTGCAAAAACCGTATTGTAGAGATGATCACAGACAAACAAGAGAATGTCTCAGACTGGAAGTTAGGTACACGTGGACCTTGCTTTGGGAAGAAGTGATGGTGGAGCTCCCTGTTTAACACCAGCAAATGCTACTTCTGTAACATGTCCCCCCCCCCCATCCACCTCGCTAACTCCACACATTTGGCTGGATGTAGAGCTGGTCCCCGTTGGCCGTTACGATCAATTTTGTGCTTATCAGCTGTCATCCCGTCTCCTCTGCTTCGCCCAGCTCCTTGAGGCTGACAGTGGACCAGCATGAGATCACTAGCTCTTCCCAAGGAAGGCAAGTTATCTGTGCTGTGACCCTTGTCACCTCACCCGGTGGGGCCCAGAATTAGATTGGGGCCCTCCGATCTGGTGGACTCTGTCTTCTGTATCCATTTCTCCACCTCACTCTCTGCCTCCAATCAGAGATGAGATTCTGCACAAGCAAGACTGGTCCCGAGCAATTTACTGTTATGATTTAGTGACAGAAGTAGTCAACCATGAGATGTGTTGTGGAGAATAAACAAAATCAGTTTGAAGACGTGAAACACTTTGTAAATTAAAATAACCGTGGAAATGTTGAATAGTTTAAAATCTGCTTGATTATTTCCTATATGATCTTCAAATTCCTTAACTCTTCTGTGCCCCAGTCAGTTTCTTTCTTTGCTTATTTTTGCCACATGACAAGAGGGGGCCCAGGGGAAGTCTGATGAACTGTAAGCACCAGAGGAAAAAGAATGAACTAGACCCAGATTTCATTCTTATCCAGAATTAAATTTAATGTTTAGTAAGTATTCACTGAACAGCATGGTTGAGATGATCAGTGCCAGGCGGGTGCTGCTGCTGCCCGCATCACTCACTTAGTAAACTTACCGCAGCAGTTGTGCCGTGCTGCAGGCTTCCCAGGCTCCCGTGTGACAGCCACTGGGGGACGGCTCCAGGACCCAAAGCAGAATCCAGCTGGGTCTCCCAGTGCGTTTCTCTTCATGTACCAATGCACAAATGCGAATTCAGTCTTGAGTTACAGGCTCATGCATTCAGATCTGAGCAAGGCGAAAGCGACACTCAGCACTGCGGTCCTGCTTAGCTGCTGAGAACACACGTCACAGGGATGCTGATCAGAGAGGGTGCCTCTCCCAGACACACACGCTAGAAAGACTGGCCGTTTTGCCCCGTGTCACAGAGACAGCTGGCTGCCTGAGAGCCCGTGATCTGCTTCCTTTCAAAAGAGGACGAGGCACTCAGACTCCGGAAGGACAGCAGGCAGACCCCCCTTTCCCCACTCTCCCGTGGTGTCAGGGGGTTCCTCGCGTAACCTGATAGGCCGCACACAATCTCACTGGCACCTGGACCGCTTCCAAGACCCAGCCCTTCGGCTCCAAAGCTGAGGCTCGGTCCCCCTGGTGGCTCTCGTCCCTTATCTGGCCTGCACCCCAGTGCTCCCAGCAGGCAGGCCCCCGGCACCTGGCTCTGCATGCCACCCCCCTTCCTGCACTCTCAGCACCAGGACTTCCTAGGAGCCGCTCTGGGGGCCGGGACAGTCTCTCCCGCCAGCCTCCAGGACTCCCACGTTCTCAGACAAACCCCCTTTATTTACTTACGATCGTGTTTTCGTGCACGTACCTTTCACGAGGGTGTAGGGCCGCTCAGGTTCTCCCCTTAATTCCAGCCAAACGCAGGGCTTTCTGTGCTCCGGGAATGAGGTCTACAGGCTTTCTGCGTTGCCTGTGAACTGGTGTCAGCTGGCCTAGTCTCCACTGATCCTCTTCATCCCGCTGGCTCTCATATTTGCAGATGTCTGACCTCAAGACACATTTCGATCCCACTGTGTTCTGGTATCGCCTTTAAGACTGCAAATGCTGGATACCTCTTTGATTCTTTGCTGCTGATTCTTTTTGTGCCTAATTTTTGTGCTCAGTTCTTGTGTTAAGTTTATCAAATGAGTGACCAGGTGATAGCAGAGCCCTTCTGTCATTTATCAATCACACTACTCAGTAAATACTAAATATAAACCAAATACAAGTCACTGAGTTTAGCTCCAGAAAAAGGAAGGAAGGAAGGAAGGAAGGAAGGAAGAGAAAAAAGAAGAAGTAATGCTCTCAGCCCTCAAAGAGCTGATTATCTTGAAAAGGGAAAACACTAAGACAGGACACCCACTTCTGCTAACAAGCAGATTGGGGCAGGACTGTCTCCAAGGCATAAACAAAGGTGTCGAGAGCACAGATGAGGGGGAGATCTTTCTGGCAGAGGGCAGGCTGGAGAGGGGGAAGGGGATGGCGGTCTGTGCACCTGAGGATAATGACAGAGGGGCATCCAGTCAGGGGCTGCATGGCCAACTCCAAGAAGAGAGGACCAGTGGACCTCTTACTGAAGCCTGCAGCTGGGGAGGGAGCAGGGGCGGGGAGTAGCGACAGCCTGAATAGAAAGGAGGGTGTGGACCCAAGACACATTGTGGGGCTGATCCTCAGAACTGACAGGTGACCAGGTGAGCCGGTGGGACTCCGCTGTGCCCTGCCTGCGCCCTCAGCACTGTTGTAAGCGTGTCACGTGTGTTAACACCTTGTGCTCAGGACAGAGTTGCCAAGAAAGTTGAAAAGAGAGGGGAGTGAGAGAGCAGGTTGAGACTCCAGCTATTGAGAGCCTCCAGGGCTCCAGGAAGCTGAGACCGTATCTGGGAGGCCAAGGGGACTCATGACAGGTTTTCAGCAGGAATATGCTCAGGTGGTGAGGCTGGGTGGTCCCGGGAGACTGGCCAAAGCCCAGTCTGTTACTTCCCAGATGGGGGCCCAGTTACTGGGTGGGTAACAGTCAGTCTCCTGGGTTGCAGTGAGGATTCAACAAGCCATCACGTGTAAGCACTGGACGCAGGCCCTGAAGGTGCGGCCCTGAAGGACGCAGGGTCATCTTCAGAGCCGGGCTGCAGGCGGCCTGGGCGGTAGGGGCAGAGAGGGGAGGCCCACAGGGCTGCCAATGTCCTCGTAGGTTGAGAGGGCACGGTGTCACCTAGACCAGGAGAGCGTGGCTTCCGGAGACATGTAACAGGGGGATCTCAGAGTCTGACGTGGCTGAGTGTCAGAGGGAGGAGCCAAGGGTGGCATCGCTGACGTGAGATTATCAGGAGAACGGCTCAAGAAAGCACCCCCGTCTGGAGGAAGAGGTGGTGTGTGGCAGGTGGTTGACAAGAGATTGGATTTGGGTGTCTTTAATTTAGTCACCAGCAGAATATTCAAGTAGAGGTCTGGAGCAAGCAGTTTCAAACGCTTTCCTAAAAGGAGAAACAAAAACTGTAAAATTTACCCTCTAGTATGATTCATTCCTACAGTGACTCTCTGCCCTGTCCCCAAAATGTGGCTCGAAGGCTTCTCCCGCTGTGGACGCCGCTGTGTTCATCACATTGCCCTGTATTTGTTTATACCCGTGTCTTGCTGAGCTTAAGGAAAGGAACACACCCTGTGTTCGTCTTTGCACTCACGCGCAGCCATATTTGGTGAACTGACAAAGGGATGTAAACATCGTCTTTACAGAGCATTGCCGATTTAAATCGTGGAGATGCGAGGGAGAGTGAACAAAGAGGAAAGAGAACAGAGGGTAGATCTTTACCTACATGTACAGGTTCAAGAGAAGACAGGAAAAGCAACGGAAAGGGCACAGAGGAGAAGAGAGGGCATCTGGAGAGGGGGCGCGCCACATCAGACAGACTTCCACAGAGAGGTCACGGCGTCCCGTGCTGAGAGAGGCGCAGAAGAAGGGTGGAAGCTGACAGATTCTCAGGGCCCCAGGATGCCTGGAGTTGGCTGCGAGGTACAGCAGGGGTAGGACCACGACATCCTCCTAGGGGCCCTCCGAGGGAGTGCTGGCTCAGTAGACCCCAGTCTTCTGGGTTCTGAAGGAAGGCCAGAATGCAGATTGCAGGTAGATATTGAGCCTCAGCAACCAAGTCCAGCTTAGAAAATAAATGATGGTATCCAGCACTACATGGGTCAGACGTCCCACCTGCCGTGGAGACAGCCAGTTCCGAATGTTGGGGCAAGAGTGACGAGGGGCAGGGGGATGGGATGGACATTGAAGTGGCGTTAAGTGGTTGTGCAAACCAGACAGGACAGAAGTCACCTGACAAGGCTAAGCCGTGAGATGAGTGTCAGGGACCGGGAGGCACCACCCACAGAAAGTCACGCTTCCTTGGGGTCTCCTGGCGTCCTGACCAGCCTGCCTCAGAGGCCTCGGGGACTCACTTGCTCAGGCAGCATAGGGAGTCGGCTTCCTTGTTTTCAGAAAGCTCAGCACAGAGAGAATGGAAGCTGTTGTCTCTCTGAAAGCCTTCCTCAGACCTGCAGGGGCCCGAGAGCCCAGGCCAGATTTGCTCCGCCAAGGTCATACCCATTAGCACCCATTAAGGCGCTGCTCTCTGGGGTGCCTTTTGAAGTCCTCCGTGGTCCAGGCAGATTCTTTCAAAGTGATTTTGTTTTGGCTGCGACCAGCAGGGAGGCCAAGAGAGAGCCCAGGAGACTGAGAGTACGCCTGCCCCTAAGCCGGGGCACTGCCGCCGGCTGCTGGAGGGGGCTCTGAGGGGGTCTTGTTCAGGGAGGTGAGGCCCGCCTCTCCGAGGACCTCTGCTCGGTCAGGACACGGGGCTGTTAGTTCTCCACTGAGGACACACTGAGTGTCTCTTCTGGGACTTGGTTATCCTAGCTGCTCGATGGAAGTGGTGGTAGCAAGACTGAACTCTGGCCCAGGAGGTTTCCTGTGTTTATCACAGCACAACACGAAATCAAATACCTAAGAAATGTGTGTTTAATAAGAGCTTCCACCAAGTGCAAGAATTTAAAACTTGAGTTTTTTTCTCTTTTTTAATCCATGTACTCCAAATCAGAGAACAGATGGGCATTACAGACACACATCCAGTGAGCTGTTTACAGCCACATTCCTCATCTCGTTGGAGACATTCATAATTGTTTTGTTTCAAAGACAGTGCTATTTAAAGGCTATGACGCATTTCATTGGACAGCTCCAGTGAACATATCTTATTTCACTGCACATTTCTGGAAAGTTACTTCAGAATTGTTCAAGATGGTACAGGGCCCTTTGGCTTCATTCAAAGGGTAATTTAGTAGCTGTGGGTTCAAACTAAATAATGTTGCCAAAACAGTGCAAAGCACTTCTCTTAGAACCCTACTTTAACTAATGGTGATGCTTCTCATTTTCATGAAAGCTAAGCACGACTTAGGGCTTCTGAAGTCCTCTCTTAACGCGCACTTGGTCTGCATCACGTTTCATCTTCCCACTGCTTTGATGTGTGGGTTTGTTTATTTTGCAATCATTTTGTTTAAAGACACTCTATGATTATTGGACCACTGTGCCCAGTCCTGCCATCCTTGGGATTTTAAAAACTACCCGCCAGGGGAAATCGCCAGGGCCGTCCTGCCAGAGGAGAATAATGGGGTCAACACCACACGCAGGCAAGAAGTACCTCAGAGCACAGTGGAGCCGGGGTAGAGACACCCTCACTCAGGGGCGAATGCGCGGCTGGAGAGAACGCGGGTGCAGGTTCCCGCCACGTCAAGGCCCGCGCACACAAGGCCTCTTTTCTGCAGCTGGCGCTGCTGGTGGCCTGAGACGTCTGGCCTCCTTGGGGTGACTGGCCCCGGCCAGGGAGCTGCATGCGGGCCACAGGCAACAGCACGCAGCTGGGGCTTCCACTGTGAGGAGGGCGTCTCCCCAGCTTCCAGGCTTCCAAGGAAGCAGCCCCGCCCTGTGCCCTCAGAGCAGCTCTGCCCTCAGGCCCCACTTGGTCCCCTTTTTGAGCAAAGGATGCCTCCCCCTCCCCCAGCGACCGGCTCCAGGGAGGAGCGTTGGCTGAGGGGGCTACGGAGAAGCTGGTGACATCTGCCCCTGGACCATGACCTTGAGGTTCGACACACTTCTTATGACACCACTTTCACATTAAAATGCCTGCTGTGGACCGACGTATTCCCCCTAAAAGCCGTGGGCTGAAGTCCTAACCCCAAGGGGGTGGTATTAGGGGTTGGCCTTGGGGTGAGTGGGTCCTGACGGTGCTGCCCTCGTGAACGGGATTAGTGCCCTTTTGAGAGGGACCCCGGACAGCTCCGTCGTCTCTTCCACCGGGTGACGTTACCGCTGCAAGACAGCCATCTGTGACCAGGGAGCGGCCCTCCTAGACTCTGAGTCTGCCCTAGGCGCCTTCAGCCTGGACTCCCAGCTCCAGGCCTGCGAGAAGTGGAAGCTCGCCGCTTGTGAGCCGCCCGGTCTCTGGTGTTCTGTTACAGCGACCCGAACTGGTGAAGCGGTGCTGAAGGTAGAGGGATCCCCATTCAGGTTTCTCAGAATCGTGATTTTTCATGATACTCATGATTCAAAGTGGGCTGTGACTTAACAGTGCTTGGCGTTTAGGTGCTTTTAAAATAAAAGACTGGCCCTACATTGTCATCGTGCTGTCACTAGTAGGGATAGAGTTAGCATAGTTCTTCCTTGTCTGCAAAGCGCTTTCCTGTAGTTCAGTTTGTTCAAGCCGAGAGCAGAGGTAACAAGCAGTGTTATTACCACGATGCTCGACTCAGGTGCGGGCACTGAGCCTCGGGGAAGCCCACACTCAGTACGTGTGGTCCGCACTTGGTGTGCATGGTCCACTCAGCACAGGGAAGAATGGCGTCAGACTTGCCATCTTCTGACTCGCTGAAGCGCACTCTTTCCCACTTCATACCATGACCTTTGATCAGAATTCTGTGCGAT